AAGAATGGTCGTTTCTTGCACAAAGATGTTTTCTGGGATTTGTTGTATTATGTTTTTCTAATTCTCCAGTGACAATACTATCTAAGATGCTATGTAGATTATCAGCTGGCATTGAAAGAGTTATATACCATGATATTTCTAATTCTTCTTCCATCAGATATAACACTACAATTACCTCAATCTGTAATCATAATAATTAAATTTAGTTTTTAAATGATGAAATGAAAATGTAATTGTGTATTCATAAAAAAAAGTACGTTATACCTCCTTGGTGGCCAAAAATTATTTTATCATTTTCTTAGTCAATATTGTATTAGGTCCCCACTTATATATTCGAGGACTTTGTGGTGTTTTGTATCTCCGACGTCCAAATTTTTTTCCAATCTGTGAAAGGCTTCATATATCCAGAATTGCAAGTAATTATAGTCGTTTGTTATACAAATAAGTTATGCATAATATATATAACGATAAAAGAATAGAAAAAAATTATTTGGAATGCAAGTGGATATTCTCTTAATGTATATTTACAATCTGTTTGTTGATTTTGTTCTGCTCTTTGCACTCTTTCCACTTGTGATTCTTGCAATGAATCTAACAAAACAAAATATACTTTTCTACCCCATGGATAAGCAAGAAAGTCATCGAGACGCTCGACCATATCAAGAGTCTTATAATCAATAATTCTGCTAGTTGATTTCAAAACACACTCCACAAACATAACAAACCCCAGTTTCAAATTATCTATGTCGTCTTCGCATGAATGGAATGCTTGGTGCAACATTCTCATAGTAATTCTCCTCATACCATTGAAATAATGATTTATAAGGCTATAGTTATTATAATAAATCTCCATAGATGGTTCATGACATGGTAATCCAGTGATGGGACAATATTCTTACATGCTAAACCTGGCAATACGATCACCTAACCGTACCCAAACTTTATTATTTTTACCACAATGTACAAGCCTCATTACAAATTCATGTATCAATCTACAATTAAATTGTTCCTCTTCTGCCCTATAAATAACTTCCGCAAAACATTCATAGAAATTAGTACACATAATAGAAGTTTGTTGATTTGCATCTATAAATTCAAATAAATCTTGAAGATATTCCCGATTTGGATATTGATAAATAATGGCAGAAAATCATTGATTTGAAGGGACAATAGATTCTAGAGACATCTGCATAAACAAATATAATAAAAGAAGTAGACAAATTTATATTTATAAGAATTCCATAAATTCTAACCCTATATCTACATCTGACAATGGCAACAATTTAGGTGTTATTATCTATGTTTTTAGATGATTAACGAAAGAATACTAAAATTCCAAGACTTTATACTTAAAGCATGCCATATTTCAGGTAGAATGGAGGCTTATAAGTGAATAACTAAGGCTACAATTTTCCTTTCATGTTATCTTTCTTTTTCTGACTCTTGAAACAAGACAACTATGAGATTTTATTTTAAAAGTAGTTATAGTTTTTAGTGTCCTTTGCATTATTAGTTCTACATGTTGTAAACATATTTAAGTATAAAATCTAAATTATTTTTAAGAAGAAAATGTCTTCCAATTAAAAATATATTGTTAATACTTTTACTAGACACAAATTACTGAAAACACGTGGGCAAGGAGAGAGCACGTGACAGGGTCTATCCGTGCTCTCCGTGGAGCTCTCCGTGTTGAGAAGCATTCTCCCTGCAAGAAGCATTTTCTTATCCATTTCAATAATAAATCTTAACTTTTATTCAACTAAATGTTTGCACTTTGGTTACTTTTCTCTCTACTTTGAACACCTTTCTCCTCTTGCAAAAATGTGAAATTGCTAAAATTTTAGTGTGATGGAGATAAAATGTAAGAATCTTCACATGTGAGAACTCTCGTGACTTTTAGTAATTGAGGTAATAAGTGAAGATAATAATTGTATGAATATTATTTTGTTGTTTTGTGAGTTTGTTGGGATAATAATTGTAGGAAATAAATTTTCTTTTGACTTATTTTCTTTTTTTTTTTTGTTATTTCATTAACATATTTATTCACATTTATATTCGAAAAACTAATAACTAACTTCATCAAATTTGTCTTAGATGAATAAAGTATATCATAAATATCTTTTCTAAAAACTCTTTCTCATCATAAATTAGTCATTGTACTTGTAATGAAACTAAAACTTTACCACCTCATATCTATTTATAGAAGTTATTACTCAATAAAGTGTGGGCACTATGTAAAATCTATTTATTTAAATTATTACTCAATAAAGTATGAGCACGATAAAATTTTATAGACTGTAACACAGCTTTATTAGTTTTATTTAGTACAAAAAACAAATGTAATATTATTTTAAATATTTTACTATGATAATTAATTTAATTCATCTCATTAGTACTACAAGTTTACAAGTAATCCTCATACCAGGTATGGCTATAGATTAGATTTTACAATGTATTACTGTTAAATATAATATAAAAAATATAAATGATATAACTGTATGTGTCTATATATATCTTCTTCTGTTTTCCAATTGGTTATCTCAAAAGAAATATTTTCTCTCAAAAGTTACTCTGTGTCTTCGTTCTGTTTTCTAATCTATATACAAATATTGTCATCATCACAATGGAAGAAAAGTACCAATATATACCAAAAATTCTATCCAACAATCAAAAATGGAAAGTCAAAGTAATTATTGTAGAGAAACAATAACCAAAACCTTCAAGACAAGGCAATGAAAGATACCAACACGTGATGTTAATGCATACATAGGTAAGTTATGCATTTATTTAATATTAGACATGAACTTTTCTTTTTCTTTTTGAAAATATGTTTTCTCTCTTTTATTTTATATACATATACACACACATTCCTACACTAATGAATTTTTATCTTTTTATCTATTAGTGTAACGCTATCCAAGGAAGTCTATATGATTTGAATATCACTGCGTTCGAAAATGAACTTCTTCTTGAAAAAACCTATGCAATCTCTAAAGTTTATGTTAAAAACAACAATGAAAAGTACAAATATTCAATAGGAGTTCTACAATGGACGATTTCTGGGGAAACTCGTGTTCAAGAGTTAAATGACAATAACCTCGAACTTGTTTTCTCAACCTATCACCTGACTTCTTTCGATGAAGTTGAACAGTTCATGGATACAAACACTGATATAAGTAAAAAATTGCATCTTTATTCTCAAAATAAATAATACTATTATATTTAATTTAATCAAATAATTAAAATTACAGGCAATACAATTTTTTTTTTCATTTTGCAGTTATCTTGGCAATTGTAATTTATAATGTTTAAACGATTGATTCAATCAAAGAATGACAACCAAACTTAGGTACAAGATGTAATACTTCTAGACCAAAAATTAAAAACAATGATATTAACATTGTGGGATTCATTTGTTGATAGAGAATCGAAATTGTTGGCAGAAAATATTGACAAAAAATCAGTAATCTTTGCAACAAACCAAAAAGTCATCTCTTTTTTCGATATGTTTCTATTATTTTTCCTTATTTAACTCTGCTTGAAAATGCATTTAATATGTTATATTAAAGAATTTTATAGGTTTAAAACTCTCCACAAAAGTTCGAAGTATCTTCTTTATGAATACTCCTTTCGTTGCAGTACAAACGTTGGTTGAATGGTATGTATGTATATTCTTGTGCCTATAATTATTATGGTTTTATTCGATTTATTTACTCTTTCACGAAAGATACAAATTTAGACAAAATCGATGAGTTAATTTTAAAAAAGCCATAGACTAAAAAATCTCCCACAAAATTGTCTCCTCCAATGTACAGCAAATTCACCTTAATACAAAATCTACACAGTCGACTTTTACTGGTATTTATATATTCCTATACACAATAAAATTATGGTTTCTATTTATCTTTCTTTATAAGTTAGAATTCCTTTTTTCAGAGAAAATTTTATTGGGTGAATGCTACTGCAAAAATGAAAAAGATAGATCACAAATGTTGGTACATAACTTGCAGCAATCGTTATCTGCGATCAAACGCCGATTTTGATGAAATATATGTTTGTATCTTCTGTAAAAGTTCTAATTCCAAAGTTATTCCTCGGTAAAATATATTTTTCCACGCCTTTCTATATATATATATATATATATATATTATTCCTAAATAAATAATTACTCTCTTTATCTCAGACCAAGAGTATATCTCCAATTATCAGATGTCACATGATGTATAAATGTAAGTGCAATTGGTGAACTTGGAGAAAAACTTATGTTCACAGTTGCACAAACTTTGATGGAAGAAACAAACTTTGTAATAATTTACAATATCTTCCAATCTCTATATTTGGTATATTTGATGGATTTCTTCATAACATACATATTTTTTACACAGGGTTCAGAAGCAAATTTTGGAGATGTAATTGGGAAAATGCAAAACACTGAAAGAACTTTCTATCTCAAAACGACTCAAGCAGAACCTAATTCATTCAATTACAAATTTGACATCATCTCAGTGGAATGTTTAATTGCAGAAGAACAACAAGAATGCCATCAAAATAACACTGATTCTGAAAAAAAATTGGAAAATTTTGACATAGATGCTGATCACAATTGGTCCCCTCCAGTAAAAAAAGCTCTTTTCAAATCAGATATTGAGCCGTCAGAAAGTTCCAATTCAAATCATTTACTTCATCAGACAAAATGAAAGAAAAAATAGAGTAGAAAATGGAATGAAAAAATTCAGCTATACTATCTTTTGAAATAGCTGAAACACCAAGCCAGTTGATTTTGGACGATATTGTATATATTTTTGGTGTGGCTTGTACTTATTTTATAGCTTTCAATAAAATTACTTTCTCTTCAATTTATATCTCAATTATAAAAACAGTAATTTCTCATTTTCAAAAACTTAAAATACCTTTTTTTTTTTTTTAAAATTCTACACATTCCACACTAATAATAACATAATCTATACAATACTCGTGCAACGCACGAGGTAGGCACTAGCTTATTTTAAAATAACACATCTTCTAGAATTATTATTGCTTGATGCACGCAACAATTACACTTAGAAAGAATGAACTTCTCATAGGAAAATAATTCTATAGCACAGCCTAACAAATGCAACAAGATCATTGGCCATTGGGCTAAGCAGAATCTCCATTTTGAGGGTCTTTCTTATTTTTTTGTTCGGGTTCGGTTTCTGGTTCTGGCTCCTTGTGTTTGTATCTAGAAGCAATGAAAATGTAGAAAATTAGATTTATGGAACTCAGCGCTGCAAGAACCCAGTAATATCTATCTAAACGACTCCTATTCAAAGTATATTTAAACCAGTTTTGTCTACCTCCCTTCTCACTAACTTTACTAACCAGATACACCGAAAGAACACTGCCCATGTATCCTAGACCGGATACTCCCTTGGTAATATGAAGAAGGTAATTGGTCATTGATTCTGGAGCCTGATTTCTGAAGAGTGCTTCAACACTCTTACGTAAAACTGAATACAAGCCGGCAAGTAGTAAAAACTGGAAAGTCAGCCAAAACATACTCATCGGGATTTTGGCTTCAGGCTTCTCATATAAATTGTGGCTTCTAATCACACCGAGCCTTCGCGTCTCCATTCTGGCAGCAGTTATACAACACAATACTGAGAATATCATGGCCACTGCAATGCCTACACGAGGTGCAAATATTTGACATCCAAACAAAACCGATCTTTCCTTACTCATACAGTCATATAAGGAGCCAATCACTTCTGTCGAGATGTTTACCACCGTTAGAAAGATTGGAACAGGAACTTTCCATTTTCCAAGGTTTGGATTCATGTGATTTGCTTGTTCTTGAAAGTATGTGTTTCCAATTGAAGATACAGTCCCACAAATTATGAATGTCATCCACATTGGAACCATCCGAACAACAATTTTGGCTTCTTTTGCTTCTGCGATTGTGCAAAGCCTCCATCTGCGAACGTTTGTCAATGGACTCCCCTTCGGTTTAGACTTGTAGTATGACCATGAACCGCTCAAAAATACAAGTGTTGCCACAGCAGTACAGATTGCCGGAATTCCATAGCGAAGTGACCATGGTTTTATGGATGGTAGAACAATAGCTCCGATTATTGGAACAAAGGCCACCATAAACAAGCCTGGCAACTGAAGCGGATCTTTTTGTCTCTTATCGCCATTAGGGTTCTTTTCCTGTTCTTCAAGGAAAGTTTTTAGAGAAACGAGGTGACCAGATGCTCCTATAGCTACCAATACCAAGGCCGTATAGAACAAAAATTTTTGTGTGCTACCAATACATTTTGGCTTATAGTTTTTGCAGGTGCCCGTGGAACTGGCAAGAACTGGCGGCGTAGACATGGTAAGAAGGCCCATACCCTGGAATAAGTTGCAGAAATTATTGATCAATGTTAATCAATATTTTCTAAAACTTAAATCATCCATACCATGAAGGATTTAAACAATGTAATGGAGAAGATAAGAGAAATTAACTAACCACGCTGTATGTTAAACTGGAAAGCACAAGCATTTTGTAATTTCCCAAAAAGGCATCAACGAGGAAAATAAACCCGACCGGCAATATAAGAGCAAGTCCCCAATAAATGTTCAAAATTCCAGCAGCATGAGTAAAACTCAGTTTCCATACATCTGTTAAATATTTTTGCGTCACCCACATTGTGTACGCAGCCAATATATCAGCCCACATCAAAACTGCCATTACAGATAAAAGCAAAACATTTCACCATATAAATCCATCATCCATTCAATTTGATTTCAATATTCATATATAATTACACAATTTTATACAGAAAAGCATCAACTAATTACCCATAATTTTAACTAAAGCTGCCATTTCCAAAATAATTGGACTTCCTGCATAACAATAATAAAAGAAAAACTAGAAAAATCACATGGATATTTGAACAAATTGCCCAAATTGATAATCAAAAACTTTGTCGAAAGTTGATAGAAATAGTAATATTTGAATCTTAATTACCTCCAAAACCTCACTTTACATAACTGATGAGAGATTGGCTGCTTTTTGTATAGTATAGGTTATAAGAGAAGGCCACAGATTATTCTTGTCTTCGACAGGTGTGACACATGATGCGGTCAAAATTTGAACTTGAATCTTTCTTTGATTTTAAGACTATATTAATCATCTCATCTAAAATTTTAATAATTATTAATTTTTTAAATCCATGGGATGGCTAAGTTTGGATTGCTAAAATAATGAGAGAACTTTGGGAATCAATTCTTAAAATATGATCATGCACGCAAACTAGGATTCTCAATTCCCAGCTAGCTGTATATTAATTAATATTTCTTTCTGGGGTTTAAAAATGATGCGAGGAGTAATCAATTAGCTATTCTATTCCCCATCGTTTTCCACGACAAATGCTTACATGTGATGTTCTCATTTTTGTCTGTCCATTGAAGGATGTCAAGAACGCCTCCAGATGCCAAATATAATACATTTTTATCCATCTATTTTACCCAAGCGAGATAATTCTATTGTAAAAAGTCTAGTTTATCGTATTATACTCTAAAAGCACGTAAATTGTATTTAATACTAGTTTAACGATAATAAGAAAAAAAAACATAAATAAACTTAAGACTGGTTACAAAACATTTTTATAAATGGAGTAATTAAGTCTTATCCGTGGGAGGAGGAAAAAATATATAATTTTTCAAATTCTACTATAGTTAAAGTTTCTTTGTTACTTTTGTTGATATTGTGTGGCATGTCACACATTTTTGCTATTAATTTTAATAACACTTAAAATGATCAGTGGTCTCGATTTTGATACCTCGCACAATATCAAAGAAGATGTACAATTTTAATGTACAAATAGCTTAATCAATAATTTTTTAATGTCCACATACCAATCCTAGTGCTTAAGTAGATGATTTTCTGCTCAATAGCAATAATGCAAATGCGTTTTCATTTACGAAAGCATGGTTGACTCAACAGTTTTACATGAAGGACATAGGGAAGCTAGCTATATTCTAGGTTTCAGATCTTGAGAGATCAAAAGAACAAAATGATAGTTTTGTCTCAAGTTTCATATGTTGACAAGATATTTGTCAGATTTGTTATGTAAGGTTCTGCCCTCAGGCATCGAATCCAACTTTCTAAAGATCCATCACCTAAGACTCCTGAAGAGTTTAGGTACATGAGCAGGATATCTTATATGTTGGCATTAAGTAGGGATGTCAGCGAGTAGAAACTCGAAGTTCGAGTTTGGCTTGAGTAAAAATGGTTTGAGCTTTTTTTGGTCCGAGTGTGCTGCTTGCAAGGCAGCTACATGTAGCTACTGTCAACACAGGCTGGCTTGTGCTTGAGTTGAGGTCCCAATCGAGGATATCTCTACATTAAAAATGTACTCACTACTCATACTTGAAAATCTCTTATCAAACTTCAGTTCACTCAAAATCATGTCAACAAGCTCAACATACTTGCAATCAAAGGAAACGAGAAAGCCAAAACATATTCAACCCATTTATAACGAAGGCGTCCACAACATCCATTCCCGCAGTCCCATAAACTTCATACAATTAATTCATCATATTCTTACTGAATGTTCAGGTATCAAAACAAAGAATTTTATGATCACAGTTATGTACAAGTCACGAACGTCACAATCATAAAGATACAAGACACGAGTTAAAATTATAAATTTAATTACAAATTATACATCTTTATATGTGACAATTTATTTATCAGTAACAAATTATCAAATTAATTTATTACAAATTATTTATCGATCACAAATTAAAAAGACTTAATTGCAAAAAACCCCTTACCTATTAAACATTGTGCGACAAAATCCTTACATATTGGAAATAGCATAAAAGGCCCATGTTTGAAACCTTTTGAGCAAAATATTCTCTCTCTCTCTCTCTCTCTATATATATATATATATATCAAAATCATCTACTAAGCATCAGTGCTTAGCTTATGTTAAGTATTGATAACATGACAAAACATTTAATTGATGAATTATTAAATTCATGGGACCTATCATTAACTTTTTCACCAATTAAATGATAAGCTAAGAACTGGTGCTTAACATAAACTAAGCATCGATACTTAAGAGATCATTATATATATGTCATTTTATTTCTCAATACAAAATTGAAAATGATAGATATACCATCCTATTTAAATAAAACAAAAATTAATTGCAGCCCTTGTGCAATTAAAAAAAAAATACACACATACACACAATTGAGTTTCAAATAAATACTTAAAAATTTAAAATTAAAAAAAAAAATCAATTTATCTTTCTCCCTACCGAACTCTGCCCACCGCCACCGCCACGGCCACCGTCTTCGTCGTAGTCCACCGCCGCCAAATCACTCATCAAACAAATTGCTCTCAACAAACTATCCATTACCCAAAGCAATCTACCATTCAGAAACCGAAGCCACCTTCTTTTATAGTTCCTTCTACCATCAAAAAGGAGTAAAAATCAAAGTCGCAACGGCCCGTCTGGCAGAGACTTCTGGTGATCGGGAAATCCCAAAGCCGCAACAGTTCGCAATTGGCTCGAATGGTGGATTAGCACTGTTTCTCATATACACCCCTTGAATAGATTTTGGGATTTTCCTGAAATGGGTTTATTGCTAAAAATTCGAACTGGTGGTGAATATACAGCTAGAAATCAAGATTTTTGTATTCGTCTCAAGGGATTAAAATGAATAATTTAAGAATGGGATTCAGTATTTTCTTGAAGAATTCTTCTGACGGATTATTGAAGGAAATGGGATCTGGGAAAGACAATATAAAGGTCAATTACCAAAATGAGATGAGACTTGTATAAATGGGAAAAAAATTGTCAGTAAGGTACATTAGACGAAAAATGGAGAGAGTGATTTTTATTGATTGAAGAGAAAAAAATGCTAGGAAAAGTAGTATTCAATGAATGACGAAAAATTGTCTTTACAATATGCCTACCGGCCTTTATAAATAACCGACTTAATAGAATTAATAGAGTGCCATTGGAATTAACAGAATGCCAGTTGAAAGTATGATATCTAATACTCCCCTTCAAAATGGATGGTGAATATCAAGAACTGCCATCTTGGATAGCAAGGGAAATAAAGAGGCAGAAGGCAGTGCTTTGGTGAACACATCAGCAAGTTGGTGATGAGTATGGATTGGATGAAGCTTAATAAAGCCATCTATAATCTTGTCCCTAATAAAACGACAATCTATCTCAATGTATTTCGTCCGTTCATGAAACGTAGGATTGGTGGCAATGTGTATCGCAGCCTGGTTGTCAGAAAAGAGAACAACCGGTCCAGGATGTGGGACACGAAAATCAGTCAACAATTGATGGAGTCAAATTAGTTCACTAGCTATGGAGACAAGAGCCAGTATTCAGCCTCTACAGATGATCGCTATATAGTTGTTTGCTTTTTGGCTTTCCAAGAGATCATAGAGTCACCAAGAAAGACACAAAATCTCATTACAGACTTTCGAGAATCTAAACAAGAGCCCAAATCAACATCCGCAAATGCTTGAAGTTGGAAATCAGATGAAGAAGAGAACAACAAGCATTGTCTAGGAAAAGCTTTCAAATATTTCAGAAGATGATGTGCTGCGTCCAGGTGGGGCTGCCTAGGTGAAGATACAAACTGGCTTAGTTTGTGGACAGCAAATGTGATGTCTGGTCGAAAAATTGTAAGGTACAGTAAAGGTCCGACCAATCTTCTGTAGAAAGAAGCATTAAGAAGAAGATCTTCATCAAATGAACTGGGTTTAGCCTTAGGATCCATAGGTAAAGAAGCTAGTTTGCAAGCAAGGAAACCAATATCTTCGAGTAGCTGTAAAGTGTAATGGCGCTGGGATAGAAACAGACCTTTAGTTGATCGGACAATTTCCAAACGAAAGAAGTACTTTAGAGAATCAAGATCTTTAAGTTTTGAATTGGCTATGAAGGAACTTCTTTAACTCCTCAATACCAACCAAATCAGAACTTGTCATTATGCTATCATCAACGTACACGAGCAATGCCACAAAGGAGAAAACCTTCACCTTTATAAATAGAGAGTAATCTAACTTGGATTGTGTAAAGCCATGAAGAACAAGGGCCTGGGAAAACTTTGAGAACCATTGCCGTGAAGCTTGTTTTAGGCCTATATTGATTTATGCAAACGACAAACAAGTTTTTCCCCCTCATGATCAACTTTCCTATGGGTATTGTATCCTAAGGGAAGGTCCATGTAAACCTCTTCAAATAAGTCTCCATTTAAAAAAGCATTGTTGACATCCAATTGAAAAAGATGCTAACCTTTAATGACAGCAATGACAATCAACATTTTAATTGTAACTAACTTTTCAACTGGAGAAAAACTTTCAATAAAGTCAAGCCCTCTTGTTGTGCATAGCCCTTTACCACTAATCGGGGTATTGTAACGTTCAATGCTACCATTGAAGTTGTATTTTATTTTATAAATCCACTTGCACCCAATTGAATGTTTGTCCTTAGGAAGGGGTTAGACAGACCAAGTTTTATTGGACTCCATGGCATCTAACTCATTAGCCATAGCTTCTTTCCAAAATTGACAGCTTGATGATAGACTTGGGGTTCAAAATTGGAAGATATGTGGAGAAGATAGGCACAATGAGACGGGGAAAGAGATATATAGGAAATGTAATTGTTCAAAGGATATGAAGTATTAGATATAGGCTGGGA